TCTGGGATATAATTACTCTTTCTTCTCACTTACTTAGCTCTAATCTAATTAAACGATTTTTATATCTATTATCCAGATTATATTAGTAAAACCACTTTCCAAGATACTAGAAGTTTATCTTAATTAAATAATTAATTAATTAAATATTTACTAGGATAGATTAATAAATCTTAGGGACAAGATTCTAGAAAGGGGACATAGTTATAATATATACAGGATTATATATAACTTAAGGACATATAATAAACCTCGGATATTACGGGTATTAATTAGGGAGATCAGAGGCCCTTTGACTTTATAACTAACTACTATTTATATTATAAGTATTAGGCTTATAAATTACTAATTATATATATATTATCGGGGTTTCCTATTTAGAAGGGGCTTCTCTGGACCTTATAGGAGGAACAGAAATTAGTTCTATACTAAATTTAATATTATGGTTTCATAACTCACTAATTTATTCTATTATCTTATTACCTACTAATAAATACCTTATATTAATATTATAATAAAAATATATAAATAAATATAAATAAAAGAAGATATAATATAAATAACTAAAGCTTTAATATAATAAATATAATTATATAAGCCTATATATAACTACTAGAATATAGTTACTTTATAATAATTAAACTAAATAAAAATAAAGTTTTAAAAGATATAATATAGAATCATATTTATTTATTTAATATATTTATTATTATTAATTTATTATAAAGCTTAAAATTAGATAAAACTAGTTATTAAATATTTAAAGGCTTTAATATTAATTATAATTTTATAAAAGTAATAAGTATTATATTTTAATATATTATTAATTATAAAAGATTAGGTGTTTTTTATTAAGAATTTAATAAGCTTTAAAATATAATTTTTATTTATTATTTAATATAAAAATATAAGAGAAATAAGGTTATTTATAAAAGTATTAGTTATAGTTATTAATAAAATAAAAGTAATAAAAGTAGCTAAAAAACTTTTAATTAAAATAAAATTATAATTTAAATAATATTTTTCTTTATTATTTATTTCTATTAATAAAGCTTTAAAAATATTATTTATTAATTTGTTTTTATTCTTTTTATTATTCTTTTCTTTTTTAATTTCAGTAATATATTATATATAAGTATTACTAAAGTATTTATTAAAGTTATAGGTATTTCGAAATCTAAATTAATAAATATTTTTATTTTTAAATTAAGCTTTTTTAGTTTCTTATTTCTTTAATATATATTTTTAAAAATAGTATTCGGGTTTCTTATATATAAAATATAACTTTAAAATATAATTATTATAATTATAAGACTTAAAGTAATTATTATAAGTTCAGAAATTATAACTAAATTTATATTAATAATTTATAAACTAATAATTATTTAATTAGTTAGTTAAATAATATTATTAATTAATAAAAAAGATATTAAAATTAGTTTATTATTTGCTTTTATATATAATAATAAATAACTAGAGCTTATTAGTAAGCTATTATATAATACTAGTCACGTGGTATTATTATATATAACTTAGTATATAGCTAGTACTTTTAGCCCGATATATAGCCTTTATAAGGTATTTATTAGTAAGTAATAAAATAATAGAATAAATTAGTGAATTATAAAACTATAATATTAAATTTAGTATAGAACTAATCTCTATTTCTCCTATAAAATCCAGGGAAGCCTCTTCTAAATAGGAGGCCCCGATAATATATATATAATTAGTAATTTATAAGCCTAATATATATAATATAAATAGTAATTAGTTATAATATTAAAGGGCTATTAATCTCTCTAATTAATACCTATAATATCCGAGGTTTATTATATACTCTTAAGTTATATATAATCCTATATATATTATAGCCTTTAGTTTAATTCAAGCTCTTTATTATTATTATAATAATTATCTTATTATAATATAAGCGAAGTGAAATTTATAAGAAAATCTAAAATAAAATATTTATATATTTAAAAATCTTAATAAATAATAATAATTTTATTATAAAGAAATTAAATATAAAACTATATTATAATTAATATAGTTTATTAATTAGTAATTAAAAAGCCTTAAATATTTAATTATTATAAAAGTTAATATAATAGTATTTTATTTATTTAAATTTTAATCTTAAAAGCTAGAGCTTTTAAAAAGATTATAAATATTAATATAAGCCTCTTTATATATTTATTAAAAGAGCTAATTATTATAAAAATAATCTTGAACTAGTTTCTTTAATATAATAAATAAAGCTTATATTAGTACTTTTTATAAAAGCTTTATATATTAATAAATATTAAAAAATATTATAATTAAATATATTATATTTTTATTTTTTAATATAAATTTTAATTATTTTTCTAATAAATCTAGTAATTAAAAATTAAAAAAATAATTAGAAAATATTCGAATATAATTATAATAATAATAAATCTAGTAGAAATATATTATTTCTTATATTTCTTAATTTTAAAGCTTTTATATTAGTTTTTATATTTAATAGAAATATAAAATATAATAATAAAAGAGAAAAAAATAATAAAAGTAATAATAATAATAAAATTAATTTTATCTAAAAATTTAGTTTAGTCTTTAATATATTCTTATTTAATAATAAAAAGCAAAATATTTATATTAATATTACTATTATTATTTTATTATATAAATATATTATTATATTAAAAGGTTTTATATAAATATAATATTTTTAGAAGTTTAAGTTTATTAAAGTTCTTTTAATAAATAAAGTTCTTAAAGTTATATTTAAATAATTTCCAAAAGTTATTATTAATTATTTTATAAAAAATATATTAAAATAATTTAATATTTAAGAACTCAAATATCTTTTATAATCTAATAATATTTAGATTTATTTTATATAAAATAATTAAATTAAATAAATTAAATAAAAGAATTATTTATTATAATAGGTTTTATTATTATATATTTTATAAGCTTGTATTTAGTTCGAGATATAATAATTTATAAGAAAAGTAAATTCATAAAAAAAAAGAATAATTTATAAGATAAATAATTTATAAAAGATATTATATTTGAGATAAAAAATTTATTTATAATAAGAAATTTAGGAAGTGAAATTTAGGAAATAAAATATCGAGATTTCGGAAGAATTTAATAGTTTTAAAGCTTAAAAGCTTTGAGAATTGAAGTAATTATAAAGAAAATAATTTTTAATAAGGAAAATAGTTTTATAAAATAATTAAATAATTAAATAACTAATAATTTAATAATTAGTAAAAAGTAATATCTTTTCTTTTATAAAATTAAATTATAAATAAAGGCAATTATTATTTCCTTTCTTTAATATAGCTTATTTAAACTTTAATAAAATTAAGTATTTTTTCTTTTTATAAAATTAAATTATAAATAAAGAATTAATAATTATTTTTTCTTGAATATAAAATAATAGCTTTATTTTTAATAAATTAAATTTTAAATAAATATAGCTTAATTCTTTTTTTATTTAATTTATATATATAAACTAATTAGTTTTAATTTACTAGAAATATATAATATTATTATATAATATATATAAAATACTAATATATTAAAATTAGTAAAATAGTTAATATGTAAAAATAAGAATTATAATATTATAATATTAATATATGATTTCTAAATTTATTAAGCTTAATAAAATCTAGTTATTAATTAAATTATTTATAAAACGCGAGGTTATATAATTATATATTATATTTTATATATTATTACTTATATTTTATTTCCTATATTTTATTACTTTTAAGTTTTATAACTAAATATATAATTCCCGAAATAATAGCTATATTAATACTTATTATATTTATTTATTTTTAATTAAATTACTTATAAATTACTAAATTATTAAAAGAATTTATAAGAAAATACTAATTTATATATTTTATTTATTTATTAAAATACTAAATATAACTTAAAATAATATTATATTTATAATTTTAATAATAAAAAGCAATTAATTAAATATTTAATTAAAAGAATTCTTTATATAAATAAATAAAAATATAAAATTAAATTAAATAAAATCTTATTATATAATAATAATATTTATCTTTTATATTTTATTTTATATAATTATAATATTTTTGTAAAATAATTAATATAAAACTATTTATTTCAAGTATTTTCAATAAATTTAATTAATATAAGTTATATATATTATTTCTATTATTATTAATTATTAAAACCCGTAATTTTTTAACTAATATATAAATAATTTATTTTTCTTTATTTCTTTCTTACCTAATATATTATTTATAAAAATTATTATAAAAATAAATAAATACTATTTTATATATATAATTAAAGCTTTAATATATAATTTAATATATATAATTTAATAAAATTATTTTCTTAAAATTAATAATATTTATTATTTCTTTATTTAATAAAATATTATTATATTAGCTAGAATATAATCCGAATTAGTAATATTTATATACGGCTACTAATATAATAATAATTATTTAATATTTATATTAAATAAAATATATAAAGTTATAAAACTAAATTAATATTATTTCTAGATATCTTAAACTTCTTTTATTAAAAAATCGCATTTATATTATTACCTTTATATCTTATTTATAAAGGGTTTTCTTTTATAATATAATAGTATTTCTTTACTATAGCTTTATTACTAAGCTTATCTTATTTTTAATAGTTCCAAAGGGGCCTTATTTAAGCTTTAAAGCCTTATTACTATACAGGAAATCATTACTAGCCGTGAAGTGCTATGGCAGGCAAATTCAAGTCAGATTGCCACGCGGATCAGTACTTTGGCTTCTAATTTTGGCTTAGCGCAAAATAGCCCTGCATGTTCCATAATATTTACGCTGTAATTTCATTTCTAAAACCTTAGGCATACAGGCCAATAGTGGCTGAAAGTACTGTGCCACATTCAGCTTAGTAATGACTTTCATGCCCGATGTAGTTGCTTCAGGCACGAAAATCGCAACTGCCCTATACTTCTATACTAATCGACACTGAAATATGGCTTCTGAATCCCGCAACAGCCACGAAGACTCTGCTGTTCCTCAAAAGGACAGCGATCAGATTCAAACACCACCCCCCAAATTCGTAGTTGTCAAGGTTTTCGATTCTAAAAGAGAACTGACATTGCATCGCCTCTCTTCCTCAACTCCTTTCACATGTGGTCGTTGCAACAAAGACAAGACAGCGAAACTTGTGGCTACATACCGAAACCATTGGAACGACCTTCGCTGCAATGCTTGTTATGGCGAGCTTCTCTTAAAAGATTAAGAGTCTGTCACCTGGACAGGATCGGTCGGAGTGAGGGAGAGAGAACGGGGCTCATACTAGGATGGAGACTACTGGCAGGAGGTGGAACACTCCTCGAGATGCAGCCACTGATTTGAGTTAAAGAGCCCGGCCTCGACACAAAGACTGTTTGCTGATGACCTGCAGGTGAACCATAACTCCATCTTTTATAGTTGATAGCGAATCTCTTGTCGCTAAACATTTAGTTAAGCATTTTAAGCGGATCCATTTTAGGCATCGTGACTGTGCACCCCTGCCTGGTCGTACTCAAAGTACCATTATCTACAGAAGCCAAAATTAACGATGATCTTCCCTTCCTTCTTTTGCAAAAAGCCAAAGTCAGCCGGTATTATCCTCAACAATGGTACCGCAACTTAGTACTATATAGTATATCTTCTGCATACGAGGAGATTATGAGCTGGAGGAGAAGAGAGAGGGAAAATATAGTAACCTGGTTATCCCAATACTAGTTTAATTAGCTCAAGCTCTAGCGCCTCCCATCTGTCCTTATAGCCTGCCCAATTCCTTTTCGGTAAGTAACTCCATCTTCCCATTTAATATAAAGAAGATAGTAGAATTCATAATAAGGCTCAGACCTTAGTCTCTCTTTATAATTAAACTCTTCGATTTCTAATAGCTCGGCATATTCAGAAACCGATCCAAATACAATCTCTATAAGCCCTATATTATTCCTATATAACCAGGAAACAGCTAGCGAGGATCTAATACTAGAAATAGAGACTTATGAAATAATAAAATGCCAAGCTAGTTAGTAGAGCTACTGTCTCTAAGATATTTTATAAACCATAAATAAGTAATAAGTTCCGTAGTAATTAAGAAGGTTCGTCTTATCTTATAGTTAATATAGTACGAAGCTATATTGGACTTAGCTAATATATAGGGGTCAGATACTAGTACTATATACCAAAATATAGAATCTGGCTTAATTATATATCTATAAAACTATTCCGGTTTAGATATAGAAAGTAGTAAGTATCTGGTATAATAATTAGATATTTCAGATATTAGGTATTAAGTCTAACTAATAGGTATTATAACTAGGCTACTATTATATATTTATTACTATATTTACTATATATTTATTATTGCTTTAGGCTAGTATTCTTTATCTCCTAATAATACTATTAAATAAGAAGCTTATCTAAATAATTAATAAAGCTATAAGAGGCAAATCTCGAATTTCGAATATAGAATATAAATGAACTTTAGCTTCTTTCCTAAATTGTCTATACTAGCTAACCTAACTCCAAGATAGCAAACATGCTTTTATTTAGGAATTGCCTTTCGATTTTCGTTAATATAATTCTCCTATAAGTATCTAAAGAAGTATAATATTAAAAAATATAACCGGAAGCCCAGAAATAAACCCGTTTTCTAAAGATCTAACTAATTTCGAGATTATACTAGTAAATATATCGAGTATATCCTCTGAATATATAAGATCCTTACTATTAAATTCATTAATTATACTTACTAAACTATATATATTTGGTAATTTATAAAAGAATATCTTACTTTTACTAAAAAGGGCTTCGAGTAATAATATTTGGTTCTTATTAGGTTTATTCTAATCTTATTTCTTAATATCTTTATCTCAAGTATATCTCTTATACTTCTAATAAGTATAATTCTCAAAAAGAATAATTTTTCTTATAGAGCAAAGTCTTTCTTAGAATATCTAATCTTATATAGCCTAATATAACTTTTAATAATTATATATATATTTATAGAAGATTATACTAGCCTTTTTACTTAATTAGATAATATCCTATCTAATTAATTATAGACTAGAAATTCTATAGAAGCCGTTAATTCTATAAAAGGCATTCTTTCTATTAGTAGTAATAATAATTAATATAGTCTAATTATAGATTACTACTATATTCTTAATTTCGTATTTTTTCTATATTTTATTATTTTATATAATATAGAGTAAATTAATCTAAAAGTACTATTCTTTTAAATTTTCTATTATATTAATAATATAAGATACTATTACTGGAATTAAAGTTAATAAATCTATACTATTTAGTATATAAGGTTACTAGAGATCTGTAATATTACTTCGTTTTATAATAAGAAATCTATATTAGCCCTAAATATAGCTTAAGGCTATATAAGTTATATTATAAGGATATAATATAAGGCATTTCTATTATATATTAATTAACTAGATTAGTTAAGAGGAAATAGATTAGATAAATAATAGAACTTATTTATAATCTAAGCTATATTTTATATTATATATATACTTTTATTTCAGAAGTTATATTAAGTTAATCTAGTAAAAGTTAACCTAAAGACCTATAATATTACTAATAGCCAGAACTGGTTTATTAATAAAAGTTAAGGCTAAAGAATCTAATATAAGTTTATTATCTAATATTTTATTCTATATTCTAGTAAATAGTATTAATAGTAGTTTTGAAATTATAATTATCTTAATCCTAGTCTCAGAAAAGTTAACTTTCAGAAATTCTTAATTAATTCATAATAAGTATAATAAGGGAAGATATAATATTCTGGGGTTCTCTAAGCTATTTATTTATAGAATTATTCAAATATAGTACTCTTAAAATCATAGTATATATTTCGTAATTAGTCTATATAAAACCTCTTTTATTAGTATCTCTTTCCTAATTACTCTTTCTATTATACTTCTTATAAGTATTTATTTATTAGAGATTATATTTAGTAAATATACCGAGTAAACTCGAATAAAGATATAATTCTTAATTACTAGGCCTTTATTTAGCTATTATTATTTAATTAAGTCTTATATACTATAGCTATTTAGTAATAAATAATAGGTAACTAAGACGAATACTAGTTTATTACCTAGTTTTTATCCTGCCTATAATACTAATTCTATATAATATTAAGTAAATAGAAGAGAAGTAGTAGTTACTAGATTAGCTAAAAAAGATAATATAATTATAGTAAAGAATTAAAGAGTTTAAAAAAAGGATACTAATTTTTGCTAGTAACTATAGAAAGCCAATTTTATAAGTAACTAAATCGTAATATATAAAAGTAAATAGAGAAAAGCGCCTGGGCTAGTACCTATAAGCTATCTAGTACTAAGATCCGTAATAAATAAATGAATTATTTGGGAACCTTCTAGAAAAATACTATATTATATTATATTATTATATAATATATATATAATAAAGTATAATAAAATACAACTTGTATTACTATAAATTAATATAGTAATAAATTCTATCTTATTTAAATACTTAGTATTTTATATATTTCTCTTATTTTTATTTAAATAAATTAGTAAGCAGGTTTTCTTATTTTTTATAGTTTCTAATCTGGGGTTTTATTTAGACCTAATAAAAGCTCTATATTATAGTACCGAAATTCGGGGACAAGTCAAAATTCATAATAATATAGGAAATAATAGCTATAATAGCCTATAATACTATTAATATAATAATTTATAATATAATTAAATTAAAGTATTTTTCTAGTTATAAATTAGGCCTTTATAAAGAAATAGCTAAAGAATAATAGTAAACTAATTATAACTTTATATATTTATAAAATAAAGATTCTAAATTTCTAAACTATAAAGTTATTTTAATATATAAGAATTTTTAGTATATAGATATAAATATTACTAATACTAATATAAATTATTTACTAATACTATAAAGATATTTATATTAGAAAATAATTAATATTAAAAAACTATTAATAATATAAAATTATAAATATATATAAAATATTTATATTATAAAAAAAAAATTAATATAATTAAAATAGATTTATTATATAAATTTAAAATATAATTAAACCTTAATTATATATTTATTTAATAAATATTAAGCTTATTATAAATAAAAGAAAGCTTACTAAATTATATTAATAGCTTATATTAGTAGCTTATAAGTAATTTTATAAATATATAACTAGTTATAAATTTTTTTTTTAAAGAAAATATATTATAAAAATAATATATAATTAAGAAAAACTAAAAAAATAAAATAAAAAATAAAAAAAATAATAAGAAAATAGAAATAATAAAATATATATATATAAACTTTATAATTATATATTTTATTATTAGTTTACTAGTAATATATAATACTATTATATAGGTATAAAAGTACTATTTATATAAGATTAGTAAAGTTATTATTTAGAAATAAGAATTATAGTATTATAATATTAATATATAATTCCTAAATCTACTAAGCCTAAAAAAATCTAGTCTATTATCGAGTTACTAATAAAATACAAGATTATATAATTATATCTTATATCTCATATCTTATTACCTATATCCTATTACCTATATCCTATATCTCATATCCCGTAACTATATATATAACTCCTAAAGAAATAGCTATATTAATACTAGAAACTTTCTAAAAATATAGAAAATAGTATCTTTCTCTAATTATATACAAATTCCCTAATCCGGCCTAGTACCAGATTTCCTAAATATTCTATATATTTATATTACTTCTAAGGTTTTAGTTATATATTAAAGGCTATAGCCTTTTATATATGGCTTCCCTTTCTATAATATCTTCCTATTTCATATATCTATTTTCTATCCTATTTATACTTGACTTATTTCTCTATATCTAATTATATAGTATTTGTATTAATTAGGTACTTAAGGGTATTTATTAGCTTCGATTTTATTATGAAATCGGCAGGATTTAATTTTCCCTTAATTTACTTGACTTCCGTAATTTCTTATTATTTATATATCTAGTAGAAGTATATTATATTAATTATTAGGCATTTCTCTCGAGTAGTACCTAATTTAATAAGGCATTTATATAATAACTTTGAATTCATATAAATAACTAGTAGTAGTTTTATTTCTAGTATTCTATTAATTATAGATTTAACTAAAGCGCCTATATTAAAACTATAAACTATATTATAAAGTTCTAAAGCTAGAATACTTCTAGTAACTCTCTTATATTTAGTAAAGAACTAGTAAATAATATTAGTATATCTAGTTCTATTTACTAGAACTAGAATATATCCGATTTAGGAAAAGAGATCTCTATTATTTATAAATAAAGTATTTATAAAAATAATTAAATATAAGAACTTCTTTACTAGCTTTATAAATCTTAGTTCTCTAGTAATATTCTTAATTTACTATTAAATATACTTATTAAATACCTTTATATTAGTTTTCCGAGAATTTAATAGCTTAAGTAGTAATTAATA